AGAGGAGATAATGGAAATTAACACTAAAAAAATTCTCATAATTAATGATGTAAACACAATCTCTTTTCTAATAAATTAATATATGAAATTGTATAGCATACACTATTTAAACAATTCTATGACTATAAGTGTAAGGGGTATTATTATATGTAGGTTAGTTTTCACATTCACAAAGCTGCTTGATGATCCTATATAGTAAATGCAGAAATTATGAATTAGTTGAGTTGGCATAATCATGCAGATGTCCCATTAATATTCGTAATTGCATAGAAGTTTGTGGATTATTACCTTCAGATTTTGGTGAAACAATAAATGTATTCGAATATGCGTAACCATAAGAAATTTTATCCATTAAATAAAATTTGTAACTTCCTGTACCGACAACAAAAACCCAAGGTTGACTTTTTTTTGTAAGGTCCACATTAGAATCTATAATTTGAATATTTGAATTTTGTGAATTCATGATTCCCAACACAGCGAGTCTGCTTTGAGTACCACTATAACTCCAGGTGATTGCAATATTTGAACCCGCTGTAACATTTAGAGGTGCATCAAATAACACTCCTATATTTAAATAAAGAAAGAATTATCAAACTGCTGTCTCATTAATGTTTGCAATTGAATTGAATTTGCGGAATATTACCTTCAAGATTACTGGCACTGGGTGGGTTGGAACTGGGTGGGTTATTAGGAGTAGTGGAATTATTAGTTGCATAACTAAACTGATTATTATTCGAAATAGTGAATATTTCTGAAAATGTATAATTATATGAAGTTTTGTCCATCATGTACAATTTATAATCTCCTGGAGTTATAGTGGTACTCAAAGCAGACTCGCTGTGTTGGGAATCATGAATTCACAAAATTCAAATATTCAAATTATAGATTCTAATGTGGACCTTACAAAAAAAAGTCAACCTTGGGTTTTTGTTGTCGGTACAGGAAGTTACAAATTTTATTTAATGGATAAAATTTCTTATGGTTACGCATATTCGAATACATTTATTGTTTCACCAAAATCTGAAGGTAATAATCCACAAACTTCTATGCAATTACGAATATTAATGGGACATCTGCATGATTATGCCAACTCAACTAATTCATAATTTCTGCATTTACTATATAGGATCATCAAGCAGCTTTGTGAATGTGAAAACTAACCTACATATAATAATACCCCTTACACTTATAGTCATAGAATTGTTTAAATAGTGTATGCTATACAATTTCATATATTAATTTATTAGAAAAGAGATTGTGTTTACATCATTAATTATGAGAATTTTTTTAGTGTTAATTTCCATTATCTCCTCT